GGAATTCATTTGTTTAGTCAATTACCAAAATTTGGATGATTTTGAATATTCACTTGAAAAGTTATCAAAGAAAAACATTTTTCATTTTGTAACTTCGAGGGCCCGTAACTTGGTTACGAAGACTTTTAGGAAAAAAAGTTATATGAAGTACTGGTGATATTTTGACCCCATCTATACATTCCCGAGAGGAAAAGAGGAAGTCCAGGGACACCCTGTATATTTCAGTATTTCGAGTCACCCTTTCTTCCATCTCCAAAGTGCTCGCAAACAAAAATGTCTAACGCCTGTCATGAATTGAAATATAATTTTGACATAGCATAGTTGACAGTTGAAAATTAATGACATCGAGTTCAAATGGATCTTTCTGAAGCATTTTTGTCAACAGCTCCATTTACAGAGTCTCTCATCAACTATTTACCAGCCGCACTATCGTCATTCGTGAAGCATGAAGAGTCGAAAGAAATAAAGGAAGAACAATCGAATACTTCGTCGTATGTCACCTCAACGGATTTATCAGAAAGTGAGTCATTATTCTAGTTATGAGTTGAACGAGTTGTAATACCGAGCGAAAGCTATTCATGGTAATACAGGCCGTTTCTTTTATCATGTGGTAACATTGCTATATTCTGAATGGTAACAGATACGAAGACGATTAAATGAGAAAAAAGGTAACTGTCATCGGGAACAATACAATGGTCGTAGAAAATTTACGGGGACTCTCGCCCTTCCCGAGTTATAAGGGAAAAACTAAATGTAATAACGTGCGATTAAATAACTGGGCTCTGAACAACTTTTATTCCAGAACTCAGAAAAAGACCCGCTTCTATAAAAAGTACAGTCATACCATAGATTATATCTCAAACTACTCACACTGTTGTTAACCTCACTTTTTACAAAAACTATCAAGGCATATTTTTGCGACAACACGGTGTATACGGTAATTGACACGATACTACAGTACCTCCCCTTATAAATTAAGTCGTACCACTGGTTTTATAGTGCGTTTGGGTATCTCATTAACATTTACTTTATCATCCTTAATTATAGGAGTTGGTGAAAGTGTCTTAGACACTGGTAATTCAATTTTCAAGGGACTATCACAAGTACTATTGTTTAGACTCTTCCTACCTCTAGCCTTATCCTTAACTAATTCATTTTGTACAGGTAAATCCGATTTTTCATTCACAGTTGAAGGCAAATTCAGGTCATTATCACATAAATTCGGGTTTATATTTTTACAAATTAGTTCTTCAGTAGAAACTTGTAACTGACTACCTAAATCACTATCAAAAGCGATCAAAAAAGATCACTATCAGAGTCTTCATTATTCGATAAATTGCGTTTAATCTGGTTAAGATGTCTTTTCCAAATTGAATCTTCAAGGACAAGTTTATAAAAATAAATCCTATTATTTAAAACTTCATCTATTACACATTCTACCCAAACTTTTCTATTAGGGTTTCTATAATCTCTACACCAAACTCTATCCCCCTCCACAAAACTTTCTTCGCGCTTTCCTTTGAAGTTATCAATTTGTTTCTCTGCACTTTTTGAACTTTGAATATCCTTAGGCAATAATAGATCTAGTCTTGTATGAATTTTATTTTTGAAAATCATACTTGTTGGTGTCACTCCGGTAGTTGAGTGGATAAAATTTCTGTATGAGAAAAGGTAGCGATACAGTAACGTTTCCAATGAACAATTTTGATTTTTAGGATCTAATAATGCTTTCCTTAATCCATTTTTTACAGATTTAACCGAATTTTCCGCAAACCCATTGGTTGCTGGATGAACAGGCGGTGATGAAACAAATTTCACACCATTTCGCGATAGGAAATTTCAAAAATTTTCTGATGTATATTGCGGTCCATTATCGGTTTCAACAATCTTCGGTACTCCATCTCTTGAAAAACATTCTCTAAATCGGGTAATAGTTGACTCAGAATCAGTATTATCCATTATAAAAACTTCAGGCCATTTCGAGAAAGTGTCAACAATGACTGAAAACATTTTACTTCATCTTCCTCCTCAACAAAATGACTTTTCTCTATTTTCTTCTCTTTGCATACTGCCAATATATGTCCTTTTTCACCACAATTACTACAAGTGAACTTCCTGTACTCACATATCTTCAAGTTATGATTCGTTTTATTACAAAAATTACATCTCAATTCTACTACCTCACTAGTGCTGTGCTTCTTCTCCACCCTCTTATTTTGACTTTCAGTTGCCGAACCAGTCCCATTACTTCTGAATTTCTGTACCTTATTCACTTTAATATTACTGCTTTTGTTTTGTACTTTCAAGGCTGCCTCTTTGTCAAATGCGGTCTCCAAAAGCTCTTTGAAACTTCTCGTTGGTTTCTCCTCACAAAGTCTATCCAATATTGGTCCAGGTCTCATACCACAAATGAATTTTTCCTGTACTCGATACATTAACTGATGCCCAAAATCGCATTTGAACTGTTCTTGACTTTGACGTACCAGTCATTCACTGACTCCTGACTTTGTCTTGAAGCATCAAAAACAATTCTCTTCCGGTAAATTGAGAGTCTTGGCTTGAAATGTTTTTTGACTAGGTTTCAGTAGGCTGCATAAGTCTCTCAAAATTTTATATATGTCTTCGCTTAAAAATGTTAGCAAAACATCAACTTGTCTGCCTGCCTCAACCATATTAGTTGCGATATATTGCTCAAGCCTCTCCTCAAAAACTTCAAAGTCATCCCCGTGTTTAAAAATGCCCAACGAAGCAGACACACTTCCAGCATTAATAACATTAATTATCGGTTGCTGTCCTGCTGAATTTTGTCCGTCCTGCATCGTTTCAGTGGCTTCCAAGGAATTTCAAGTTACTCAGCATGTGATTTTTCTAAACATAAAAAAAAGTTGAGCCGACTTAGTTTCCAAACATTTCTATGGTATACTGTTTTTCCGGTTGTAAATATTATGTTTTTCCGTCGCCAAATATTGTAATAACGTGCAATTAAACAACTGGGCTCTTAACAACTTTCATTCCAGAACTCAGAAAAAGATTAGCTTCTATAAAAAGTACAGTCATACCATAGATTGTATCTTAAACTACTCACACTGTTGTTAACCTCACTTTTTACAAAAACTATTAAGGCATATTTTCGCGACAACACGGTGTATACGGTAATTGACACTATACTACACTGAAAATGCTGTTTTTCGTTTTTTTTTCGAATGGAATTGTTATTCCGGAGAATATCAGAAAATGTATTAGAAGTGTACTAGGTGGATTTGATAATAAATACTCGATAAAACTTTTTGTGTCAACATGGCCACCATCATTTTTTTTTTAATGCGGATCTGTCTTTTTCATTACAGATATTGATAAAGCAATAAATTCACATCATCAGTGACAACAATTTTAAATTACGCTCCTGTCGTTACTTCTTTTATAAATGGCTTGGACCTAACCTAACCTAACACAATGAAAATTCGTAATTTTCATTTTGGAAATTTTTGTATTGCCGTAATCCTTCTTTTAAGGCTTATTTCTCCCTAATCAATTATAATTCGTAATATTTTTATAATTCTCAATCCTGGAAGTAACAAAAATATCAGTTTTTTATGGAACGCCGTTTTACTTCTTATTGTCACAATCATTCATTCCTCAATTTNAGAACAGCTGATGAGAGGGGTGTTATGTAAACAAACATGTGTACCAACTGTTGGTGATGAAATATTTCATTTGTTGAAAACTCAATATACATATATATAATATAATGATACTATATCTTGAAAACAAGAGCTAATATATAATTTTTATGGTCACTTTTGGTTTTAACACGTGGAAATACATTAAAATCATCTAATTTCAACCCCGAAACAAAAACTTTGTTGTGTTGTGATATTGCTATGGCATACTGTTTTTTCGGTTGTAAATGTTATATTTTTCTCATCGCTAAATATTGTAATAACGTGCAATTAAACAACTGGGCTCTAAACAACTTTTATTTTAGAACTCGGAAAAAGACCCGCTTCGATCAAAAGTACAGTCAGTGGCCCACTGATGTTAACCTCACTTTTTAACAAAAACGGTCAAGGCATATTTTCGCGACAACACCGTGTATACGGTAATTGACACGATACTACAATTTTCAACAGCAATTAAGAACGTTTCGATCAGTCTAACAAAAGACATCATAAAAACAAAACAATTTGTTTCAGCTTCGACGTTAAACGGCTCCGCAGTCTCGGTGATACCTTCGAAACAGGCCAACACCATGCAGATAAAGACGATGCCGACGACGAGGAAGCACCCCGCCCCCTTGCCACAGCCGCCTGCCGTCCCGCAAAACAACTCCCTGAAACCACTCTTACCGAAACCGCACCTGAGCATCAGGAAAACCGACACGGGCATCATCCTGCAGTGGCGGATGCCCTACAACCTGGACGCTTACGAAGGCATCGCGAGTTATCAGCTCTACGCCTACCAGGAAACCAACGCCCCACCCTGTACCGAGATGTGGCGAAAGGTCGGGGACGTGAAGGCGCTCGCGCTCCCGATGGCCTGCACTCTGACGCAGTTCGCCGACAAGAACAAGTATTACTTCGCTGTCAGGTCGGTGGACGTGCACAAGAGGATAGGCGCTTTCAGCGATCCCGAAGAGATCTCCTTGTAAATACGTTGGCTGTGTATATATGGATGTTTGTATTTATGTCTCGAAGAGTTGAGTATCGTTTAAGGATTAAGTCTTAAGAGTTTTTTTAATTTATGAGTATAGAGAATTAAAGTTTTTGAATTCCAAGTTTAGTCGGGGCGTTTTTTTTTTTGTTCGAGAGACGGTTGTAGCTATGGAGTAAGCGTCAGTCTCTGCTTCAGGTTTTGACAGGTGAGTGTAATGTCAGTTCGGTCATTTTTTAACAAAACAAACAGATTTTTTCGAATTGAATGAATTTGTTTCATCAACTTCATTGATCATAAATTAACTCAGTTTCAGGCGTTTGATTTTTTAAATATAGGTATAACATTTTCTTCATAATAAACATATTATTATTATTATTATTATTACAGTTCGAATCTTATTGTTTAGGTTGCCCGTAGTCTGCAGGTTATTCTCTCTGATCTATGACGGCAGACATTATGAAAGGAAATGAGGCAACCAATGCTCAGTTTGTTCTCGTTATAGTTGATACTACATTCAAGGTTTTGGTCTTCGGTTTTATTCCAGTAATGAGTTTTGATTCGTTCCTATTCATTAAATTAGATAATTGAAAGTGTAATTTAGTGCAGGTAGCATGACTATTTTTTATGTTAATTGTATAACAGTTGAAGTTGGTACATAAAGTTTATACATGACTTATACTCGAGAGACTGTCATGGAGACTGGTCTGGAAATGAAATGAAGAACTGAAGAAGCTGGCTTGACTCCACTCTGGAATCACAGGCAACGAGAAAGTTGATGAGTGTGCCACAGACACACCGTGAAATCCATATGTGCTCTGAATGTATGGTACAGGAAGATCAGGAAATGGGTCAATAATAAAGGTGTAGGGTATTGAAATAATACATTCGGGAAAATATGGAGGAAATTCTTTACAAAAAAGGACTGAAGAAAATTGAGAAACAGATTACTCAGAATAATGAGACTATTCACTAGACACTCCATCGAGAGATTATTTAAAAGACATATCTCAATAAAACTATAATTTCACCAATGAATATCATTGTCAAGTGGATTCAGAAAGATGAGCAACAAAACAAACCATTTCTTGAAGATCACATTCAAAAGATACTGAAAAAATACGTGAATAGAAATAAAAATAGTTTTCAAATGATTGTACATACCAACAATGTATTTCTAAAACATTGTCTTGTGATTTCAGTACATAAAGCAATAAAACAATGGCAATGAATAGCACAAGATTGAAAAAAATGGACAGAGTGGATCGTGAAAAGATGAGAAGCTACAGTGTTTTCCGGATAAGCAGCAAGAAATATACACTCATGGTTATACAGAGCATTTTGAGAAAATGGCAAAAGTTAGTAAAGGCGATGGTGTTGGAAATGATTTGGCAACAATAAGTTTTAAGTTGACCGTGATAGGTGTTACTGTGAATGAAACGATAGCTAGGCAAATACTAGTGTATTTTACTTCTGACTGGAAATCAGATTCCCTATGGAAGCGTAGGTTCGTATCCTATCGACTGCGCCATGGGAATCAAACGATAGCTAGGCAAATACTGGTTTATTTTACTTCTGTCTGGAAATCAGATTCCCTATGGAAGAGTAGGTTCGTATCCTACCGACTGCGCCATGGGAATGAAACGATAGCTAGGCAAATACTGGTGTATTTTACTTCTGAGTGGAAATCAGATTCCTTATGGGAGCGTAGGTTCGTATCCTACCGACTGCGCCATGTGAATGAAACGATAGCTAGCCAAATACTGGTTTATTTTACTTCTGACTGGAAATCAGATTCCCTATGGGAGCGTAGGTTCGTATCCTACCGACTGCGCCATGGGAATGAAACGGTAGCCAGCCAAATACTGGTGTATTTTACTTCTGACTGGAAATCAGATTCCTTATGGGAGCGTAGGTTCGTATCCTACCGAGTGCGCCATGGGAATAATAATAAATATGCTTTATTGTCCAAAGAAAAGTTCTTATTGACAAAGCTTTGGTGAACATTTTGAGAAAGAAAAAACATAGTCGAGTGCATGAAATCAGAATATAAGCTAGTAGATTGATAAAAATATCTAGAGTCCTACCATAAATATAAAAATTTTGAAAGTCGCATTTTCTGGAAAACATTGGATTACAATATAAATGAGAATGAGAATGAAACGATAGCTAGCCAAATACTGGTGTATTTTACTTCTGACTGGAAATCAGATTCCCTATAGGAGCGTAGGTTCGTATCCTACCGACTGCGCCATGTGAATGAAACGATAGCTAAACAAATACTGATTTATTTTACTTCCTCTAGAACATCTGAAGTACATACATTTCAATTAAATATACCGGGTGATCCGCTACAGTTATCACAACCGAAGGATTTATTATGACACACGTTTCACTAACCAAGTTATCATCATCAGGAAATGACTAAAAGTGTAATATTCTTGAGATGCAGTTGGAAATCTATTCAGTGCTCAACAACTTGTAAATATATCTAGAGATGTATTTACAAAAAATGAAGTGAAAAAATTACACAGTGCAGTAGAAAAGTACGTCGAAAATTATATTATCAAAACAGAATGTGAAGCAGCCATGAAAAGGAGCCATGAAAGAAATAGGCTCTCTACAACTTTATCACTATGAAAAAAAATAATTGAGAAATTTTCCCAACTTAACAAGATAAATTGAAACCTATATAATCCGTCCAGAAAAGCGAATTACTCCCACTTGATGAACTGGAAATTATCTCATAGATGGCATCCCATCAGAGAAAGTATTTTTTTCAAGGACAAAAGCTGTGCAGAAGTAGTTCATATTGGATATAAATCGCTGGAGATGAAATCAATTTGGGAAAACGTTCTCAGGAAGTTAATTCCACATAAACGCAGTTTTCCAGATGAAAGAGTTATTAAACACTGAAGTTCGAGGTGTACTGAGTTGAACCTCAAAACGATGAGCAGCCATTGTCCGTCTCGTATTTCTGATTTGTACCGCTCTTGGTGGAATCAAATGTGCCAAGTAACTAGAACACTTCCCGTGAAAGTATCTATAGAAGAGAGACAAATCTCGAAACTTTCTTCGATGTTGCAAGGTTGCATGTGATGTTCGCGTCGCTGATAAAGCGGATGACTCTCTTCTGGATGGAATCCAGCAACTTCAGGATATGTTTGGGGGCAGAGCTCGATACATGAGAACAATACTCCCAAACTGGTTCATGACGATACCGTAGATGATGTTATTTGTCACACTTGGAAAAAATTAATCATAAGCAATGGTAATAACTTCTAAAATTAAAGATTAATTTAAAGAGTTTCAGATAGAGCTTTCACATCGAAAATCCATACAGGTAGAGAAAACTTCTAAACTTAAACAACGAAGCTTGGAACAATATTATATATTATACAGCATCAAGGATGAAAATTATACCAATTGCAATCAAATTATTAAATATTCAGCCGATTTTCCAAAATACTCAAATAAAAACATTCATTGAAGCTCAATAAAGAGAAATATTTGTAACTGACTGTCATTTGAGAAACTTCAACTGATCCAGCTGATCTTTGATGGTATTTGCCAAACAGATCCCTATAAAATTGATACTCGTTCACCCATCGCAGGGGTCTTCAGAATAATTCTGAAACTACTGATTGAATTCAAACTTACCCCCAAATTATTTGGTTACAGTAAAAGATTTGGATGAAAAAAGATATTTTGATACTTGTTTGTTTGACATTCATACTTCGAGATTTTTATCAATCCCACAGATGGCGTCTTCAACACAAGATAAACTCGAGGATGCTGAGTAGCAGGAATTGACTGAACTTCATCAAGTAATTTCTTGAAACAATGTATAGTAACTTCACGTCAGTGCAGGCCAGACTGTTTCTCTCCATCTTTTCAATGTATACCTGTTTACAAATCATGATACCACCATATTGAAGTTGTATCAGCTCCATCTTGTGAACAAAAACCTAAAACATGATAGATACATCTTTTGTAGTTAGAATAGGAATCCAATTCTAGATGAGTGTGTCCATTAGCTAAGAATACAAAGCTCCCTTTCCGTATAAACTTTTTCCATTTCGTCTTCATTTTCAGTAGTAAGATTTTGACGGCCAATTTTGTTGATATCTGGTTCATCCTGACGATTCTTTATAAAAGCTGATTTGAGTCTCTCTGTGGATATTTTTTTTCCCTTGTTGTTGATTAAAATCGTGAAATATTTGTCATTTCGCTTCAAAACCTTGTATAGTCCAGAATATGGCTGTTGCAAAGGTTTTTTGACTGCATCTTTTCTAATGAAGACATGTGTAGCAGTTGGTAATCCTTTATATATGAATATTTTCCTGTTGCTGTGATCAAAACCTTGTATTATTTTCATTTCATTCATTTTCTTCTTGAGGTCATTTGAAAAGTCTTCGTGATTAGGGTTGAATCTTGCATCTTCAATAACCATCTTTCCAGGGATTCTTAGGGTCATTCCATATACCATCTCAGCGCTACTGATACCACCTAAATCTTCTTTCGGTGTAACTCGTATACCAAGAAGAATTGTTGATAGATCATCAGACCACTTTTCCAGAATGGCATTTGGGAGCAGCTTTCATAGTTCTGTGGAACCTTTCAATCATTCCATTAGAACTTGGATGGTATGGTTTAGTTCTCAAGTGATTGAAACCCATTATTTTGGAAAATTCAGAGAATAAGGAACTCTCGAACTGTCTTGAGGTTGTTGATTGATTTGTCAGAAATTAATATAAATAGTTGTCAAAACTTCGTCAAAAATATGTCTATTGAAGAAGTTATTGGTAGTTATTTGCTAACTACAAAATTGTATGAAAGCTAGTAATCTTGAAGGAACAAAGTTTTGTTTTTATTTTACTTTACTATATATCTGCCATCCTTCAAAATCAAATTCTTCCAGGCTGTAGCTGCAGCAAAAGAATAGTACAAATATTCGATAACAGATGGCGCCATGTTGAACATAGTAATATCACATAACCCTAATTCTTTAGCTTTCTACTGTGGTAATACTGTAAAAAAACCACAAAGACTTACATACAATGCTTTAGAAAAAATGGTTTCATGTTGAAACCACTTGTACTAAAAGGATTAGCGAGTGTCTTGGAGTA